TCCTCCTCCTCCTTCTCCGCCCCACTCCTTTCGGCTGTCGCTTCCCGCGGGGGGCGGCACCCGCCCGGTAGTCGCGAACTGTGGCTCGCGCCTCCGAGGAGGACCGAACCGAAACTCCCCCTCCTTCCCCGCACCACCCAACCATACATGTACTACATGTGCCACGCATGGAAATCTCTACTATAAGCTCCGTGGCGGGCGTCTTCTGGTCATACCGCTCGGAATGTGTGTGCGTATCCGAGGTCGGGGGGTTGGAACGGAAGTGACCCCAACCGGGAAATCGGTTTCGGTTCTGGTTCGTGTCGTGCGTGCGGGCGAGGCGAAGCTGTACTGATATAGTGACAGTTTTATTTATACATAGAGGTGGATGGCTGTCCCAAATAGATAAATATATATGTCGATCTATAAAAGGGCAGATGTGCGCGACAATGAATACGTTGAAGAAACCACCAAAGAGCCCAGGGTCATCGCAAATCGACCGCCTCCCCCTTCCCCCCAATTCCTTATCATCCGCAGGGCGGTCCTATCGGTGTGCATGCATGCATGTACGTAGATATGTATGCATGTATGTATGCATGCATGCATGCATGCATGCATGCATGTATGTATGGATGCATACATGTATTTTTATATATATATATATATATACGTAGGGTATTTAAAAAACTCTGTCTTCGGGTCGGAGGTGCGTCTCCAACAGTGGTACTAGTATGTCGTATGTCCACATGCTCCCTTTCTACAGCCGCTTGGTTCTGCCCCTGCTCCTCTTGGGGGCAACGATATGGGGGATGGGCACAGCGGGGGATGTACCGACCCCCACTCGCCCATTGATCGCCGATAGGGGCCCTATAGCCCCAATCCGCTCAGGAAGGTGCGGTCTCGCTATCGGGGGCCTATCGCCGTCGATGCATTTCCCCCTATGCTAGTCCCCCCCTATCGTTGCCCCTCCTCCTCCTCCTCCTCCGATTCCTCCTTCCTCCTCCTCTTCCTCCTCCTCCTTGGGTATGACGGCTTCCTCAACTCCTTATTCCATGGCGTGCTCCTCCACATCCCTTAGATCAGGGCAGCTTGCCTGGGCATCGTTTCTGGATGGAGTGGGGTGGTGTACTTTTTTGGTCGCGACCGCGAGCGGGCACCCGCGCAGCGTCGGAAAAGGTCGAGCTACGAGCAAGGCCGGGGGTCACAGCGCAACCGTCGCCGGCCAGACGCGGGACAAAGGGGCCACTACACAACACACCGGCTGCGCGGGGCGGCGAAAACGAAGAAGGGCGGGAGAGTGCGACACGAGTGGGGGGGTGTATGCGAAGCGTGTAGTATTTTTGATGGGCCCCTCCGCCCCCCTCCGCCCCTTCCTTCCATCGGCGGCGAGTCCGGGAGGAAGTGAGGAAGACTTAGACAACTTCTCAGAAGGCTCGGAAGTCCCCCCGCCTTCTGAGAAGTTGTCTGACATCAAGACCTTTCAGAAGGCCGGAGGCCTTCTGAGCAGCCCCGCCGCCTTCCGAGAGGGCCTTCTCCTTCTCGCCTCCCCCCCTCGCTCGCCGCCCATGAGCATCACACAACAAGGAAACGGGAAACGAAGAAAGCTCACGAGCCCGCAATCAGGGCCGCAGGTGGAGCGGAACCCGTTCGAAAAGGTGCAGGGAGCAGCCTTCGCGGCGAGAGGAGGGGCGCTGGGCTGACCGACCTGAACTGATCAGTCCAGCGGCAGCGGGCGGCGGGCGGGGCGGCGGCAGCGGCGGCGGGCGGGGCGTTGGGGCCGGCGCCTCCCGCAGGGGCGAGGTGGCGCGAGGCCCTGGAGCTGCTGCGCGAGCTCGGGAGACTCCGCCCCCCGCCGGACGGGCCCCTGGGCTCCCCTGGGCTCGGGAAGAGGAGGAGAAGGAGGAGGAAGAGGAGGAGGAGGAGGACCAGGAGGAGAAGGAGAAGCAGTCGTCGTCGTCGTCGTCGTCGTCGTCGTCGTTGTTGTTGTCGTCGTCGTCTTAGTAGGTGGTAGTATTAGTCGTAGTCGTAGTCGTAGTCGTAGTCGTAGTCGTAGTCGTAGTCGTAATCGTAGTAGTAGTAGTAGTAGTAGTAGTAGTAGTAGTAGTAGTAGTAGTAGTAGTCGTAGTACTCGTAGTAGAATTTTTCGTAGTAGTATGAATAATGGTGGCAGTAGCAGTAGTAGTAGTAGTAGTAGTAGTAGTAGTAGTAGTAGTAGTAGTAGTAGTAGTAGTAGTAGTAGTAGTGGTAGTAGTAGTAGTAGTAGTAGTAGTAGTAGTAGTAGTAGTAGTAGTAGTAGTAGTAGTAGTAGTAGTAGTAGTAATAGTAGTCGTAATAGTAAGAGTCGTAGTAGTAGTAGTAGTAGTAGTCGTAGTAGTAGTAGTGCTAATAGTCGTAGTAGTGGTAGTAGTAGCAGTAGTAGTAGTAGTCGTAGCATTCGTGGCAGTCGTAGTAGTAGTAGTAGTAGTAGTAGTAGTAGTAGTAGTAGTAGTCGTAGTCGTAGTCGTAGTCGTAGTCGTAGTCG